TCAATTCCCTAATGGCAAATGAGGTTGAGCACATTTTCATTTGCATGTTTCCCATGTGTATATCTTATTTGGTGAAGTGTCTTTTCAGGTTCATTGTTCATTTTAAAATCTGATAGTTTATTTTCTTATTGAGAAAATAAACTCTTATTTTATTTTATTCTTTTCTTCATATTTTTATTGATGCTTGATAGTTGTACATACTGATGTTATTTGTTGTTAAATATTCATACATTCACACAATACACAATACAACAACATAATTTAGCTAGCTCTCCTTGAATTTTAAGAATTGGTCATGTATTTTGGACAACAGTTTGTTGTCAGATAAGTCCTCCCCATCTGTGTTTTCTTGTATCATTCTTTTCTTCTTTTGTCATTTGCAGAGTAGAAGCTTGTCAATTTAATAAAGTTCAATTTATTAATTATCTCTTTCATGGATCATGCCTTTGGTATTTTATACAAAAAGTCACTAACATTCCTTGGGTTACCTAGGCTTTTCATCTGTGCAATCTTCTGGGGATTTTTTTAGTTTTGTATTTAGTATTTAGGTAACTACTAGGCTTTGAATGTCTCCTTCCAGAACTTAGGTTGAAATTTAATTCCTATTGTAACAGTCCTGAGATGAGATCTTTAAAAAGTGATTTGGTCATGTGGACTCTGACCTCATTAATGTATTAAAGCTGTTGTTGTGGGAGTGGGGTTAGTTATTGTGGGAGTGGGGTCCTGAAAAAATGATAAGTTTGGCCTAATTTCTCTCTCCCACATGCTTACTTGTCTTCTGCCATGAGATGGCACAGCATGGAGGTCCTCAATAGATGGCAGTGACATGCTGTTGGCATCACTTCCAGAACTGTGAACCAAATAAACTTGTATTGTTTATATTTTTCCCAGTCTGTGGCATTTGGGTATAGCAGCAGAAAGTGAACTAAAATAGTTAAGATGGGGTTCAAGTTAAGTTTTGTGAGAAACATAGGATTTGGGTCTGGTTTCACTTATTTAAGAGTGGATGTTCATTTGTTCCAATCCCATTTACTGAAAATACTTTTATTTCTCCATCTACTTGCCTTTGCTGTTTTGTCAAAGATGGATGCATTATATTTATGTAGATCTATTTCTGGTCTCACTGTATTGATATAGTTGATGATTCTTTTGCCAATACCATAGTCTCAATTTTTGTAGGATTATATTGTCTTAAAGTGAGATATTGTCAATCCCCCAACTTTGTTGTCCTTTGATATGGTCTTGGTTGTCCTGAGTCTTTTGCTTTTCAAAAACGTTTGACAAGTTTGAGAATCTGTTCCTTTGTAAGATATAAAGTTACAAAATAACTTCTTGGGATTTACATTGGGATTGATTTGAAACCATAGATCAAGCTGGGGAGAACTAACATCTTAACAGTGAGGAGTCTTCCCATCCACATGCATTATGGATATGTAAGGTGCATCCATCCACATTAGGTGCATATATGTTAAAGGTTGTGATGCCTACTGGATAACTGACCTCTTCATCATTGTGCAATACACCTTTCTATCCTGAAAACTTCCCGTACATTCCCGTATGTGTAAATAATACTTATATATACTGTGTATATTTTCCCCAGCTTTCTCTTGATTGGTGTTATCATGATATATACATCTCTATCCCTTTACTATTAATCTATATGTGTCTTGGGTTTCTGGTATACAACATATAATTGGGTCTTTCTTTTTAATCCACTCTGAAGATCTCTGACATTCAGTCAGTATCTTTAGACATCAACATTTGGAAGTGATTATTGATATAGTTGGGTTAAAATCTATCCTATCATATTGTTATTATTTTCCACTCATTGCTTTTGCTCTTTATTCCTGCATTTGTCTTCTACTATTTTTCTGCCTTTTGTGGTCACAATTGAGCATTTTATATAATTTAATTTCCTATCCTTTCCTTTCCTTTTCTAGTGGTTGCCTTACAGTTTGCAATGTACATTTACAACTAAGTCCAAGTCTACTTTCAAATATCAGGGTCTCATTTCACAGGCAGAGCAAGTACCTTATAATAACAAAATATTCCTAATTCCTCACTCTTGTCTGTTGTATTATAATGTCATGCATTTTACTTATGCACAAAATGATGTAGATATATAGATAGATAGATAGATACATGGTGACATATGCATGTATGTTGTTCCTAATATTATTCCATTATATGCTTCATTTTTGAGACAGCAGAAATACTACACCTTACCTAAGTCTAGCTAAGGGTTTGTTGATTGTATTTATTTTTTGAAGAACAATTTCTTGGTTTTATTGACTTTTTAAAATGGATTTTCTGTTCCTTATTTAATTTATTTCAGTTCTGATCTTTATTATTTCCTTTCTTCTACTAACTTTGGGTTTAGTTTTTTTCCCTTAGTTTTGTGAGGCATAATGTTAGGTTATTTATTTGGAAACTTTCTTCTGAGTTAATGTAGGCATTAATTGAGATAAAATTCCCTCTTGGAGCTACTTTTGCCATATCTATGGGTTTTAATACATCGAGTTTCCATTGACATTTGTTTCAAGATATTTTTTTAATTCCCCTTTTTGATCTTTTTTGACCCATTGATTGCTCAGGAGTATGTTGTTCAATTTCCATATATTTGTAAATTTTCTAAGACTCCTGCTGTTATTGATTCCAAGTTTAAAATTATTGTGGTTAAGAATAACACTTGATGTAATTTCAATATTCTTTAATTTGTTTAGACTTGTTTTGTGTCCCAGAGAATATTACATGCAGGCTTGAAAGGGATGTGTATTCCGCTGGTCTTGGAGGGGATGTTCTATATATGTTCGTTAGATTTATTCAGTCTAAAGTGCAGTTCAAGTTCAGTAATTTTTTTGTTGATTTTCTGTCTTGATGATCTATCTGTTGCTCAAAGTGGGCACTGAAGTCCCCTACTATTACTGTATTGCTATTTGTTTCTTCCTTAATGTCCATGGGTATTTGTTTTACATATTTAGGAGCTCTGATGTTGAGTCTATCTATATTTACAATTGTGATGTCCTCTTGATGAATTGACCCTTTAATCAATAGATGATAACCTTCTCTGTCTCTTCTACAAGTGTTTGACTTGAAGTATATTGTATCTGATATAAGTACAGACATCCCTGCTGTCTTTTGTTACTGTTTGTGTAGAATATCTTCTTCTATCCCTTCAGTATCAGCCTTTGTGTGTTCTGAAAGCTCAAGCGTTTCAACTATAGGCAGCCTTTAGATGGTCTTTCATATTATTTGTTCAGCCACTTTCTATCATTTGATTGAAGAGTTCGATCCATTTACATTTAGGTTTATTGACAAGTAAGGATTTACTCCTGCCATTTTGTTAGTTGCTTTCTGGATGTTTTATAAATCCGTTGTTCCTTGACTCCTCTTTTATTGCTTGCCTTTGTGATTTGGTGATTTTCTGTGGTGCTAAGTTTGATTTCTTTTTTTTTTTTCATTCACATATCTGTTAAGATTTTGCTTTGTGGTTGCCAACAGGTTTACATTAAGACTATGTTAAGCTGATAACAAGCTGACTTAATCACATACATATATACTCTAGACTTATACCCTCCCCCCTACAATTTATATTTTTGTTGTCACAAATTACACTTTTCATATTGTGGATTCCTTAACAACTTATTTGGCTATGGCTCTTATGGAGTATTTGACTTTTAATTTTCACATTAAAGAGTCAAAGGATTTACTTACCACTAATTGTCAGGGAGCATTATGAATTTGACTGTGAATTTACCTCTGCCAGTTACTTTTGTGCTCTTGTATATTTTCATGATAGTAATCAATGCCCTTGCCTTTCTGAAGCTGAAGGGTTCCTCACAGGAAATCAGTGTGCTGCTACACTTCCCAGAGTAATCATGGCTCCCAGTTTTTTCTTCCTGTTTGCAAACAGCCTCATTCAGAGGTGGGAGTTTAGGATCTTTTCTGGGTCTTCTTTAACACATGCACAGCCCTGGCCATATACACAGCCCTACATGTGATTGTGACTTTCTCTATTCCCATAAATTTTGGTGTTTTCGAAGCTCCCAGTGGACATCTCATTCTCTAGTTATTACTTTCAAATTTTTGGTTAGGTTACTGTTTGCGCCATCTGTTATTCACTGCCTCAGGCATGATGTTAAACAATTGTTGCTGATTATTTCCAACAAATTCTCACGGGGGTGAGAGGCTATTTGCATTGGCTGAGCTCTGTGTCAGGTTAGGTAAAGAAGAATCTTTCAGGAACCATCAGACATGTCCAGTAATGACGATCTGCCTCTTCCAGGGGCTGCTAGGCTTCTGGCTTGGCTCTGTAGATGTGAGCTGTTGGTTGTCAAGGCTACCAATGGAGCTGGGAAGTGGGAGTGAGAATAGGGCAAGCAAAAATGCCACAAAGCCCACTGCTCTTACTGGTTTTCAACCATTTGTTCTTTGAATAAATTCTCCCCACTTGATGAAATTCTTTAATTGATTTCTGGGGTACTGAAAATGTGGATTCCCTAGAGAAATCCTGATAATTTCTAAAATATTGTCCCTAATGTTTTCATTGCTATTAAAGAGGGGAGGATTTTTGGACATACTTTACCATCAGCAGAAGCTCATGGAACTTTGAATAGCAGGTGAAATGCTGCCTAGGTCAGATTTTGAAGTATATAGAACATCTCAGTAATCACATCACACATATGGTTATAAATGAGAAATTCATAAAGAGCAAAGCTTTTGTTCCTATGACCACGATGAGAATAACTTATGTTTTTCAGAAAGTTGAAATTTCCTGATAGCTGTGAATCACAGTGAATGATGATGTGGTGATTCTTTACCTTAGAGAAAAGAAACTGGTATTCTTTTTTATCTTTTATGTATTTTATTTTATTTTTTATAAATTCACGACAGCAGTGGAATGCATTACAATCCTTATTACACATATAGAGCACAGTTTTTCGTATCTCTGTATATCAAGTTTGTTCACGCCAATTTATGTCTTTATATGTACTTTTTTGCATTACAATTCTTAATACACATATATACCACAATTTTTCATGTCTCTGTACACAAAGTATGTTCACACCCAATTCAAGTCTTCATACATGTACAAAACTGGTATTCTTAATAAAATGAAGGCATCTGGAAGATGTGACATTTTCTCATCTTGCACATCTGTGGAAAATCCAGAATTAGGTATTGGTTCCTTCTAGCTCTGCATTTGGTGGAATATTTACCAGTGCTCTGGAAACCATGGATTGTTGCTTGGTAGGGGATTAAAGGGGTTTGCTCTGTGAACAAGGAGATCCTAATGTAATTTCAGTGCCTCTGAAGTTTCTCTTAAACACAAAGAGAGTGTAATGCACAAAACACCTGTGAACCATGACATTTTGAAGCTGCAGACCACCCACAGCATAATTCTCAATAGATCTGACCAAAGAGTTCTTTATGTAAAACACCTCAATAGATCTGACCAAAGAGTTCTTTATGTAAAACACCTCCAGTAACCAAAGACAAAAGCTGTGTGTCTATCAAAGGAATTTACTAATGCTAATAAAATGTGCGTGGTTTATAAATTAAAATCCAGTCTATTTTAGTATAGACAACTGCCTCATCTTGATTTATATACTTTACTTGCAGATAAGGTTGGTATACAGATAGGTGTATGGTTTTGTTCCACTCTGAACAGCACCCTGGGTCTTTTAAAGATATGACTTCAAGTCTAAGAATCCTGAGTCATTGGCTGGTAGATTCAGATCCTTGCATGGGAAATCTTATCCACGGGAGATAATAAGGTCTTAAAGTTGGGTGCTAGGAGGTCTGGAAGTTGCCTGCTGCTTCTTACAGAAGCACTTCTCTGGAACACCAAGATAGGATGGAAATATAACTTATAGGGTGCCATCTGCTCTCCTCTCCCCATTGGTCATTGTTTTTTTTTTTTTTGTTGTTGGAACATTGCCTCCTTTCCTCTTCAAATTTCCAGTCTATTTACACACACTTTACTCTTCTATAGTAGTCATTCACTGCTTTAGGAAAATGGCATGTAACTTTTCACAAGACATTTAAGTCCTACGGTAATCATTGTTGCAGAAAGATCCATCAATAGATGCTAAAACGACTGTGGAATTTTGAGGAGAAACAAGAAGTGTGTAGTTACTAAGTATCTACCCAAATATTAATTCCAAGTAATTCAGTTTATCATCACACATTATAAGAAATAGTACTGACACCATGAATCCCTTGGAAGGTTGCACAGAGAAAAACATGGTGTCATTTCACTGCAAAAAAAAAAAATGCATAACATCAAAGTCAATCCTCCAAAACTAAAGACCAAAATGTTTTCTCTGATTAGTGGATGTTGATCTATGATTGGTGGGGAGCACATGGGAAGAATGGAGGAATTTTGGATTGGGCAAAGGGGAGGGTGGGGAGGGGTTAAGGGGGTTGGAAAGATGATGGAACAAGATGGACATCATTACCCTAAGAAAATGTATGATTGCACAAACAGCGCATCTCTACACCGTGTATAACCAGAGAATTGAAATGTTGTGCTCCATCTATGTACGATGAATTGAAATGCATTCTGATGTCATGTACAACTAAGTCGAACAAATAAGAATAATAATTAAAAAATGCATAACTTCATAAAAATCATAATATCAGAAAACCTCAATTAAGGGCCCTTCCATGCAATAGACTCTCAGTATGCTTCAAAAGTGTCAGTCATGAAAGAGACAGGAAAGATTGAAGAATTGTCCTAGATTTTAGAAAACAGAGGAGCAAAAATAATTTAAAGCAATGTTGAATTCTTAATTGGATACTTGAAGAGAAAAAAAGAGTATTAGAAGAAAAAATTATGACATTTAAATCAGGTCTGCAAATTAGTTAGTAGTATTGCACCTATAATAATTTCATAGCTCTGATTGTTGTAATATAAATACCCAAAGTGATACCATTAAGAGAAGATTGATGAGAGGCTGGCAGCAAATCTCAGTACTATTTTGCAACTTCCCATAAGTCTAAAATTAGCTCGAAATAAAAGTTCAATGAAAATGATTGCACCTAATTTTTAACATCTCAAAGGACTTTTTTCATTCCTTTAATAAGTTTTCTCATTGTATTAAAAATTTTGATATTTCTTGGACATAATATTTTAATGACTACTAGGCTAATGCATACTAAGTAGGTGAACACTTTGAAAAACTTAAAAGGAATTATGCCAAGGCAGGATTGTATCCTCAAATTTTGGTGATACTTTTTTCAAAGTTTAGGGTATGCCCTATTTTGTGCTTGAAATGCATCATACACATGTTGTCGAACTAACATAGTTTACAATATATGTGGAATTTGATGTAGAAAGTTTTCTTTTGAATATAATGTGGAATAGAGTGCCTTGCTAAAAGATGCTGTAGCTGAAATTCTTATTCCTTAGGGACTTCAGAATTTATTGCTTATAGATTAAATGCTTAAACATTGAAAATTCAGTTTTGTTACGTTTTTCAAATTTAAGAGGTGTTTAAATGCAAACAAGACATGGAAAAGTAAAATGGTTTATGTAATTTTGCGTGTTATCATTAGCTATAAATAGGGGTAGTTATTACTCTGGCTTGTATTATGGGTTGAGTGTGTCCCCCAAAGGTTCATATGCTGAAAACTGTCCCCAGTGCAGTGGTGTTGAGGTAGTAAAACTTTTAAGATGTAAGGCCTGGTGGGAGATAATTAAGCTATGGGGGGGCACCACCCTCATGAATGGATTGATGATTTCTCTTGGGAGCATTAGCTGTTATGGGACTAGATTAGTTGTGAGACAAGTTTGTTATTAAGGAGGCCATCCCATGAACTTGGCTTCTTCTGCATACAGCCAGTTCCTTTTCTGCTACTTCAGCAATGTTGTGACGCAGCCAGGGGGAGCTCACCAGGATTCTGGCCACCATGTTGTTTGGACCTTCTGCCATTGTGAATGAATAATCTTCTTTGTAAGTTACTCAGTCTCGGTCATTTTGTTACAGCAACGCAATATGAAACAAAATGGATATGTAGTCCTGATTAGTGGACTAATCTATGAGGAAGCATCAACCAAATGCAGGCTTCTCAACTTTCATATGCATAGGAATCTTTTGTAAAACTGAGGATTCTGATTTAGCAGGTCTGTGGCAAGCCTGCAATTCTGCATTTCTAATAAGCTCTCAGGTGATGCCACTAACTGCTGGTCTCTCTTAATCCTGGGACAACATTTCATGTAGTAAGGACTTAACTGAATGGAAAGGAAGTGCTATAGATGATTCCTGTCCACCACAGGTGTAAGTCTTCAAAGAAAATGACTTAATTTTAAACAAATGAAATATTTCAGTATCTGAATGAAGGTTGTATGGCTTGATAATAAAATTCGAGAAAAATCTCACCAACAAAACAAATTCTGGAGACAGGAATTGCTACATATGACACACCAGTTATTCAATAACATCTTTCTTTTTTAAAAAATATTTTTTTAGTTGTTAATGAATCTTTATTTGTTTGTTTCTGGTGCTGAGAATTGAACCCAGTGCCTCACACATGCTAGGCAAGTACTCTTCACTGAGCTACAACCCCAGCCCTCAATAACATCTTAATATAACCTGAGATGAATTGTGGAAAGAAAAGAGATCCGGGGCTCAATCTAAGAGTAGGTGAACCAATCAGGACAGGAAGGTGTTGACCTTTTAAGCATACAGAAATCCCCCAAGAGGATGTTTACCACTGCCACCAGGGGGCGCATAACCACAGTGTTTTCCTGTGAACCCCTTCTAGACTAAGTCATCCTCTAATCCTGGGCAGCCCGGGTGAAATGAGTTAAGGAAATCAAGTCAACACTGCACAACGTGGAGCCATACCACTGACTTCGAGTCTCCAGTGATGAGGACTTAGTGATAGGTCGTGCGTTTACACCTTTTAGGTTGTTAGAGTTGACAGCTGAGCTGGGCTTGAATTAAGGCGGATTCTGCAGTCAGATTCATGGGTTTGCTGTGGTTATCCTTATCCAGATAACACAGGCTGGTGCAAAGAGGCAACTGATTTTGTCAACTCTTTCCTTTGAAAACTGTGTATTTTCAGAAACTTTCATTTCTGCAAAATGTCCTACCGAGGAAGGATTGTCACTAAGGGAAATGGACTACACTTTAGATCTGTGACCAGATTAGAACCAGAAGTCCAATTTTCTGCTCTAGCTAGTGTCTGGGTTTTCTAGGATCCCTCAGAAAGAAGCCCTAGGACCAAATGCTGGGAGATGCTCACATTGGAAGGCAGGCCTGCAGACTTAGACCCAGCTCCTTCTCTGTCCTGTCAAAGTCAAACCACACCACTTCCTCTAATTTAAGTCAACTCCACTTAACTGCTTACACATGAGCAAATTCTTTTAATTTTGACTTTGAAAACTAAAGAACAGTACATATTGTGGGATAAAATAATTTCAAAACTATTACTACTATTTAGTAATAAAAAGTGAAAATCCCTCTTTGTTCATTACTCCCTACCCCCAATCCTATAATCTCACCTCTAGGAATAACCATTGCTAACCTCCTAAGTGTGTGTGTGGGTGTGTGTGTATGTGAAAATTTAAATCCTCAGAGATAAAAAATAAGTATTTACAATTTCAGCCATTTATTCATTTTATCAGGATCATTCATATATTTGGGGAGAGAGGTCAATCATATATACAGGTATATGAATGTATGTGAGTATATGTATATATGTATGCATAAATATACATGTATATGTATACATATATAAACAGATTATTTTGCTGAGTTTTATAAAAACAGGATCACATAATTCATACTGTAGCTTCTTCTTTTTTTTAATACTTTTGCTATATATTATGGCCTATCAGGAAGAGGTTTTGAAATTAAAAAATAAAATTTAAATTTACAGATCTATTTTCTTTTCTTTTTTTTCAGATCTATTTTCTTGATTTAAAACATTTAATCTCTAAGCCTAATATTTTCTTGTTAGCAAAAATAAGCTCCAAGGCCCTCCCTGAGCTCCTCTGACACACTCAGCATCCTGTCTGTCCATGTTTACATGAACAAAATAAAATTAAAGGCATCTGCATGTTTTCTTTCTGAATGATCTTGAGAGACTGAACAAATTGCTCAAATTGTGAATACTTAATTATTTTTTCCTCTGAGGGTTTAACATTTTAATCTCTATTGTTTTCATGAATCTAAATTATATTTTATAGGAGTCATCGTTTTTTAAAATAGAACTTGTGAACCAAGGATGCAGACAAACCTAGAAGGTGTGTTTGCATACCCTCTGTCTTTATTTCTTCCAAAAAACCAAAATAAGTCAATTAAAATATGGACAAGTAGGAGCTGGTTAATATACTATGCATTTTTAGATTTGCCCTCCAGGACCCACTAGAAATACATGCCAAACTGCCTTTCTCAAGAACAGCCGATCTCAACCTTTAATAACGAAGAATTCCTGGTCACTGTTAAATAGTATACCTTGCCCTGTTCCCCAAGTCCTATTTGCTCAGGATGGGGTTGGGGATGGGTATTTCTGACAAGCTACCTTGTAGTTTTTAATTCCACCAACTCTGGATTACAAGGATGATGCTTCATGACTGTGGAGGATTAGGTGCATTATCTCTACTGTTCTGCTTCTCCTTCAGAAGAAAAAAGGGAATGGAAAAGATGTACAGGAAATGGGCTTGAATTAAAGTGGATTCTGCAGTCAGACTGACTTTTCCCACTAAAACCTGCCTTAAACTTTTATACACTTCTTAGGAATTCTTGTATGCTTATCTTTAAAAGTGGACCCTTCAAGTTTTTCAGTTTAACCTGTCCTCCTGTAGTCACCCTCGGGCTCCTCCTTATATAGGGAAACCGGTTTGAGAAGCGGTGGATGACTGTTTGAATTTCAGTTGAAGTTCCCTACAAAACTGGCCAATCTGGGAGGTCATTTGTCTCTGATCCAGATGCAGTGGTTTGATTATTCTTGGCTTACACGAAACTTGGAAGGGAACTGAAGCCTCAGGTAAGGGGGAAAAAAAAAGAAAGAAAAGAAAAACTGTACACTTACAAAGCAAGTAAGAGAACAAGTCACAGCTGTGCACACTGGACAGATCTCACGGAAAAAAATCTGAGCCAAAGAATTCTCCATTTACCCGAAGTTCAAGGACAGGCAACAATGACCTAGGCTGAGAGGGTTGGGGAGAGGGGTTTTATCTTGGAGGCAGTGGGGGATTCTTGCCTGGCAGGGGACTGGAACAAGGGAGACATGGGAGACATGGGAGAAATGGGGTGGGGTAGAAATATTCTAAGTCCTGATTTGGTAAGCTTATATACATACATTAACTTGTTGAGCTAAAGGCTTAAGCTGTGTGTTCATTTTGCTATATGTAGATTATACCTCAACAATTGCTTTAAAAGCTCTGAATATAGAAAAGGTTCACTAGGAAAAAATTACATTCATATCCATGCCATAAGTAAAAAAAAAATAACATCAAATCCATATAACTGGGCAGGGAAAAAAATTGGAGATGATTATGAAATAAGTGGTTTCTTTGAATTCCAGTCGTAAACTGAACACCTAAAATAATGGGAGCCTGCCTTGTAGACATGATGCTTTCAAAAGGCATGATGTGGAGCACTGACTCACCACACAAGAGGGATGATTTTTTTTTTTTTTTGGCCTTTGTAGTGCTACCAGCTCAGGGAGTATCTGAAGAAGCAGTTTTACCTGCCCCTCCACCTTTTTTCCCCTTGCATTCCTGGGGATTGAACACAGGGGAACTCTACTACTGAGTTACATACCAGGTTCTTTTTATTTTATTTTATTTTTTATTTTGAGACAGGGTCTTACTAAGATGCCCAGACTGTCCTCAAACTTGAGATCCTCCTGCCTCAGCCTCATGAATCACTGAGATTATAGGTGTGTTCCACCATAACCTACATTTGAATATGCAGCTAAGCTACAATTGAATTATGCAGTGATAGGAGGCCTGGACACTCAAGTGTATCTGAGGTCAAGTGTATCTGAATATTCCATGGACTCTTCTTCCTTTGATTCCCCCATCTACCAATATTGGTCTCAATGTGCTCAAAGAAAGTGAATATATCTGTATTACGCCTTGGAGGGTGGTCTTTCTTTCCTGAGCAACTTCTATGGTTTTTCTCTCCCTCTTTCTTCCCCATTCTAAACAGGAGGCTTTTCTGTTTGACACAACTGGCAAGATTGGTGTTATGGAGACACAACCTTGCTTTGTTGTGGAAACTGCTCTGTCAGGTCTGGGAACTGTGGGTGAGGGATGGCTGGTCAGAGATGCCTCTTATCTATGCACAGATAAGGCCCCAATCACTGACCGAGGGAAAGTTTGGCCTGAGCTGACAGTCAGCAAATGTGGTGGTGGTGGAGGGGGGCTTTTCGTTTTTTTGTTATAAAGCCTTTGAGAAAAATGAATCACTTCTATGCCCCACATCAGGTCCAAAGTCTCTGTTAGACATAAAACCAAAATGCTGATGGAAGGTGTGGAGGAAGCTTGTGGTGAGCCCAGCACCCAGCCCAGAGTGGGGAAGGAGCTTTGTGAACACACCTGTCATTCTTGGGAGGATCCTTGCACCTCTGCCGGTGATGCTGCTTTTTCCAATCAAAGTCCTTCTCAGACAGGAGTATCAGAGACTGAAATTTTCTTCTTAAGGTTGTCTACACGAAATAGGAGATCAAAAGCAAACAGATCCAGGAATAAAAGGCCAAAGTCACCTCAAGTCCAATGAGGATACTGATTCTGAAAGATCATTAAGCACATTCTTCATTCTGACTCCTGCTCCTTCCAAAATTTGGTCTCCTGGGGATATTCCAAAGACTAGGAGGGGCAGGTACTGCAAAACTTACTGTTTTCCTTGGTAGAGGAGTCCCCCCCCCCCCATTAAAGCTTTCTCCTTTCTTCCCCAGGGCTGATCCGGAACTCAAGATCCTGCTCCACTCCACACTTGGCTGATAGAGGGGGTTGGGTGGGTACAAAGGACTTCCCTGATTGCAGGCAAATTCCTCCAGAGAAGGCGTCACCTAGTGAAGTGAGGAGCCCACCAGGTCTAGGGTTCTCTCACACTGAGGACCCCAATCCCTCATTTGTCTTCCCTGGGTGGTGGTTGGCTGTTTTGGGATCTTTCTCTCTGCTTTTACTTTACTACCACCCTTTGCTCTGTTATCTGTCAAAATGAATATCAACTTGGGAGGCTGAGGCAGGAGGATCACAAGTTCAAAGCTAGCTTCAAGCAACTCAGTGAGGCTCTAAGCAACTTAGAGAGGTCCTATCTCAAAATCAAAAATAAAAAGGGCTGGCGATGTAGCTCAGCAGTTAAGTGTCCCTGGGTTCAATTCACCGCTTCCCAAGTCCTGTTACAAAAGAAAAAAAAAAAAAAACTCACTTCTCTGATTCACCTGGTTCACATGAGTGTTTTCTCTCTTCCAGAGAATTGCCAGTTACAGGTTTCAACTCTTTTCCCTCTTGCTCCTTTCCTATCACCCCACCCATTCCCAGATTACACAATTCTTTTTGCCTATGGCATTTTCACTCAGAGCCGGTATTCATTTCCTAACCCAATTAGTTCCAGATTCTTTCTCTTACCTTTTGAGAGTTTTCACTAGAAAACACGATTTGAGTGTCTTTCCTAGATAGCTGGACTCTTCGGGGCTCCTAAACTTTCTTTTCCATGTCTCCAAACACTTGATGGCAATAACACAAGACACGCACTCCAGTCTGGATGAACTCACATATTTTTAAGTCCTCTTTAGTACCTGGTAACCCAAGCAAAGGGACAACCATGAAGGGCATTGCAGGGAAGGTGCTCTGCATGTCTGAGACCATGCCCAGCTGAACCAGAGTAAATAAATGATACACACAGAAAGCAAAAGTTTTCTACTCTTGCTGGGTGAAATGGAAATAAAATCACCCAGGACTATCCACTTAGTCCTTTGCTGTGTCCCTGCTGTTTTTGGATGTGTCAGGGGCCATCTGAGAGGCTGTGAGATAAAAGATCAACCACAGTGGGGACACATTTGCAAGAGAAAACCTGCACAGTGGCTTCCTCCTTCTTCCCCACCTCCCTAAAGCCTGGAAGCTAGATTCCCTGATTTCCGATTCTATTCAGTCCACCTGGTTTCCTGGTGATCCTTTTTGAACAAGACCTTTTGTTTTCATTTCCCCACAAAGACATCTCCTTCTCAGGACCCTATGGCCTCAGAGAGGCACCTGGGAGGAAGCCAAAGAAACCCAAGTAGGCAGAGTGGGCTGTTCCTGGCATTACTAGGTATCCTCTCCAAATGGGCACCTTCTGTAGTGCTATGGGGCCCTCTAGTCTCTAAGGCAATCAACACCAGCAGGTAGGATCAGGAAGATTGGAAGCAGGGGAACTAGGCTCTAACGTCCCAGGCTGATGTCCCCTCAGAAGGCCAGGAGCCTCCTCTTCAGGATGACCAGGACCTTCAGGGCAGATTTGTCAGGGACCTTGCCAGCGGTTCCCCTTCCCGCAGCCCCAGCACTGGGCTTGGTCCAGCACATTAAAGGGAGAGGTGTAAGCCTGGGCCAGAGGGGGGAGCCAGGACACCCCTAGTGAGCCACAAGCCTCTGGGGAGGCCTATTCCAGGACCTGAGTCTGACGCGCAGGGGGATCCCCACAAGGGGGCAGAGGGGAACCCGGGAGGCCCGCGGGAGGAGGCGAGATCGGTGGCCCGGTGTGGGCAAGCTAAGCGCAATAGTGTATCCCCTACTCGGGGCAGTCGGTGGGAAGGGGCTGACGAGACCCTCGGTTTCTCCTAAAGTTTTAGAGGAATCCTTCTTTGTGGATTTCTCTCCGATGCCTGCTCTTGTGCGTCGGAGAGGGGCTCCCCTACACCACCCGCTTTCCTTTGGCACCCGAGGGCTGAAGGATTGCGCACCGGGCTCGATCCCCAGCCCAGTTTCCTCCCCGCACCCCCTCCCCGTCGTGCTGGCCAGCTCCGAGCTGCATCTCTGGCACAGCCCCTTGCCCGCGCGCCCCCCTGCCGCCGACCCGGGCCCACCAGCCGCGTGGTTGCAGGCTGAGGGAACCCACACTCGTCCGCGCTCCCAGCTCGCTCGGTCCACTCGGCGTGGTCCAGCCCCAGCTCAGCCCTGGGTCCCCCCGGCGCGAACCATGGAGTAGGAGGGCAGCCCCGGGACGCGCTTCTGCAGCCCGCGAGGCCGGAGTCTGTCCGGGGTGGCCTCGCCAGCCGGCCGAGTTGGCCAG